GGGAGCCCCTCCCAGCAGGGAGCTCAGGAGGCTCCAGGCCCTGCCCCCCCCCCAGGAACGTGCCCTTCACACCAGAACAAACCCCCCAGGAACGGGGGCTCTTCCCATGGGAAAACCAGGAGGAGCCACCTGGGAGCCCAACACCAGCCCTGCCCCAGCCACGGGGAGAGGGAGAAGGGAGAAGGATGCTGAGCAGCCCCCCCAGGCCCTGGTGCTGGGTTGGGAATGTGATGGGAACCCCCCCGGGCTGGGAAGGGCCCTGGGATGAGGGGGATCCCCCGGGGGGTCCTGCAGCTCCTTTACCTTCTTGGAGAGCGAGGAGACGTTCAGCCCAAACCTCTGAGCCCTTTCCTTCAATTTATCCATGTTCACCTGCAGAGACACAGGAAACAAGTCACCTGCTGGGTCCCCAGGGAACACCAGAGGGACAACTCCCTCAAACCCCCCTTGTGACCCCCAAATCCCCCTCAAACCCCCCTTGTGACCCCCAAATCCCTCAAGATCTTTTCCCACCCTCTGGCACCAGAAAAGCCTCAGCCCTGCCTGGGGACAGACCCTGGGGAAGCTCTGCTGCCCCCCAGGGCAGCCCCGAGGAGCAGGGTCCATTCCCCACAGACCACCTGGGATTTCTGCTCCTGGAGCCCAACAATTCCAGCAGAAACCAAGAGGACAAAATCCAGGGAGTATGAACATGAAACACCAAAAGCATCCACCCCTGCTCCTTCCAGGAATTCCCTCTGAATGTGGCTCAGCTGAGGGACCTGGGGCAGCACAGCCGTGGGTGTCCCCAGCCCACCCCCCACCCCTCGTGGGGTCTCCCCAGAAGGCAGCACCCTCCCCCAACCCCTCCCAGCTGAGCAGCAGCCCCTGGAGAACACCCAGGGCTCCTCACCGTGGGTTTGGTGTCTGCAGCCAGGCCTGGAACGAGGGGAGAAGAGGAAAATTCCATTAAGCAACGACCCCCGGGAGCTGCAGCCCCCCCAGCCCCACCCCCATCCCACCCCCAGCTCCGCTCCCTGCAGACTGGGATCCCAGTTCCCTTGCCCCTCCAAGCCAGGTTCTCCACCCGCTGCTGTCCCACCACCCCAAGGGCTTTCCCAGCCAGACCTGGGGTTCTGTGGAGCCAGAGGTTTGGCCCTTGGTGCCCTCCCCAGGGACAGCAGAGGGAGATCTGGGCATCTCCCAGGTGGGCTTTGGAACAACTAAGGGAACAACATGTGTCCTTCTCTTCCTGGCCCTACAGTTCCCTCTGGGAGCTCCTGGGCATGGCCAGGAAAAGGGACATATGTGGGAACAGAGGTTGTCCCACCATGGTTGGCGTTTCCCAGGAATAATGAAATATCTACAGCATCAGTCCAGGGGCTGGTCCTGCTCCTCACCTTTGGGTGGAACTGTGGCCAGGCCAAACCTGCCAGGGCAAAGGGAACTTGGTCAGAGCAGGAGGGACAAGGGACAGGGGACAGGGGACAGGGACAAGGGACAGGGACAAGGGACAGGGACAAGGGACACCCAGCACAGCCCAGCAGGAGCAATCCCCTCCAGTGCTTCTCATGAGGGCACCTGAACCAAACCAGTTTGGGGCTAATTAACTCTGTTCCTGGCTACTGGAATTACTGCAGCAGCTCCTGCCATTCCCTGCTTCCCTCATAAAACCAACCCCAAAGCCCAAGAAGTGCTAGAGCACCAGTGACCACCCCCTCACCCCCATTGCCCACTCCCCCTCCCAGTGCTGGGGTCCCACCAGGGCATGGAGCCACAACTGGAATGTGCCGGGGGGGCTTTGAAGGCAGGGAAATGATGGGAGGGCTGGAGCAGCTCTGAGAACAGGCTGGGAGGAGAGAAGGGTCCAGGGAGACC